GTATTCAATCTGGTTTACTCAAATTATGCTACTTTATTGTTAGCTGGTGATTACCTTGTGTGCTTCTACTGCCTCTACTGAATTTTTTGTACCAATAAATATTTTAAGAATACTGTAATAATAATTTGGAGACTACAGAAAAATCTAAACTATTTTAAAATAATGCCCAATATTTGGTTAGTTTTCTGCAGGAAACTAAGATCTCAGTGAGTTGAGAGTTACAAAAAACAAAGGGGAGGGAAGAGATAAAGAAGGAAGGTTGGTTAATTGAGCATTTGTTAAATTCCAAGCTCTGGATTAGATTTTTTCCACACAGTTTAAATAATCAGTTTATACTTTGTAAGTGTCTATACAGAGAAATGAGAGGGAAATTTACTTGCAATTCATGTACATAACAATTTGATCTTAGAGAGTGATAGTGGTACAAGGAATCTTACAAACAAGGTCCAGAGAGGTTAAGTGGTTTTCTCAAAATTACAGTTTGTTGAAATAATAACCCAGGGTCACATTATTCATATTTCGGCTTGGCAGGCTATTTTGTATTTAGGTTCTGTTAACTATTTTATAAAATCCTTAGGAATATGGAGGCATTCAATATGAATTACTGAGAGGGAGGACATTTTGGATAGTACTGGATCTTACCTATTTTATTTTTATTTTTTATTTTTTCCTTTTTGTCTTTTTTCGTGACCGGCAACGGATCGCAAGGGGGGGGGGGGGGGGGGTACCGGACCGGGACCAGCAACGGGATCGCAACCCTTGGTGTTGCGCCCGCACCTCGCTCAGCCAGTGAGTGGTTGGTCTGTATGTGGGATCCGAACCCTCAGTGGGAGTGCTGCCGCGCTCCCAAGCGGCGCACTGTAGCAGTGCGCCACCGGGCCAGCCCATGGATCTTACCTATTTTAAAATGCTACAAAATCTCTAGATGAGAGACATCTAGGGGAAAAAAACCTCATCTTAATTGACTGATGCTTGCAATGCAATGGAATGAAGTTAGGGAGGGAAGAAACTGTATTCCTCTCCATGCACAGCTTGGTAATAAATATCTGCCCTTCACAGTACTTGCACTTTATATTCTCTTTAAATACTAATTTTCTTTCCTATTAGAAACAGTTGGTATGCTATTAATATTTGAATAGAATGCTAACATGTTCCAAATCCTTTTTAATCTTTCCTGCAATGTTATTTCCTTTTGGGCTTTAGAATGCAGTGAGATAAGAAGGACTTAAAATGCCTCCCTTCTGCATCCAGGCAGCAAACTGACCAATAAAAATAAATATAAATTATGAGCTCCAATTGGTACCAATAAGCTGGTACTGTCACTACATTTAAAAAAGTATTTTGCATGACTGCTAATAACATTCATTTATTCATTCAACAAGTATTTGTTGAGATCTTCCCTGCATTAAGCACTATGCTTATCCTATAGATTCTGAAGTTTGTTATATTTAGCGGCTTGATTATAATTTAAGAAGTTCCCCTACATGAGATCAGAGTCTTGAAACTCAAAGATATGATCAAGCACAAAGTCATAATGTAAAGACTTAAAACTTGTTTCAGTAACATTAATTCATGAAAAACCATTTTCTAGATGATTACTTCAAGACTCATGGAATCGAGTTTGAAAATAGGCAAAAAAAAAAAAATATCAGTAGCATAGTTTCCTATTCTTTTCATATTTAACCTCCAATTGGAGGTAAGAAGGGGTTTAAAGACTTAGAAAATAATTTTAAATATTCTGTTGCTTTACACCTAAACTGCTCTAAGCTTTCTCTCACAACAGAAAACATTTCCACGCATTTCAGGATTATCAGGATTTTTATGGTAAACATAAAAAATTTAAGCTGACACTGGGTTCTTACTAAGATTTTTTTTTCAGTTTCTACTTCATATTGTCTAATTTATGGATGTCATAAAATATATGACTGTGTCTTTTTCAGAGTGTAATACTGCTGATATGAACAATTCTGTGTATATTTTTATTAGTAAGCCCTATAATAATTAATGTTTATATATTCTTACTAATAAGGCCTACAACAATTAATATTCAAGTATTCAGAACACTGAAGGTAATAGTTTTTTGGTATTTTTGAAATAAAACATTTTAAATGGTCTGTTCTCTTTTTATATCCACAATTTATCCCCAGGGATAATTATTTGTTTTTATAGCCAGCAGCAAGCCAATTTTGTTGAATCAATATATCTTTCACATGAGATATCCTTACAAAGAATTGCAATCCACAGGATTTATTAAAGATGTGGCTGAGAAACATGCACCTTCTTAGGGGTTGCATTTCACCTAAACGTGGTAAAAGCCCACTTCCTTCTGCTAAAGCTCAACACCTAAAATATTTAAACCAGAAAAAATGCTAACAAATTTGATGTTTCACTTATTGTATACCTTCAAAAGTAAAAGTTCTTCCACACAGAAGGTACCATGCTACAGGTCTTAAATAATACCAATAAGTCACTCACATTTATAAGAATTGAGACATACGTGTATGATAAGGTGGAAAAACAATGAAAAAGAATGTGGGATTAAGAAAGATAGGACCCTTAAATTCTAATCTTAACTATTGTCACTAACTGATGTGTGTGTGTTTGTGTGTATGTGTGTCTTGAATAAATATCTCTGGATCTAGTTAACTCATAAATAGAAAGAAGGGATTGGTTTATAAACATTGCTATAATTTCTTCCAGCCCTAAAGCTCACAGATTAATGGACCCAGAACTGAAGGATTTAGCTGACTCATTCATTTTGGCACTTCAAATTCAGAAAAGTTATCCTTCTGGGACTTGGTAATGGGTTTTCTATACACAGATTTACCAATTAGTCACTTGGTAGAACTGCCTTGGCTTGAGTCATATTATCAGCATAAGATTATAGTCACAGTCCAAGAAAGAACCCAAATTCACAGTCAACAATAAAGGCAACTTCTCTCAAGTCTCTCAGTTTTTGAAATCATGAGCATCCATTATAACAAAGGCAGGCTGAAATAATATCAAATGCTTTTCTGCTTTCAGATAAAGCAGGTACTTTCTAAACTTGTTAGCAATGCACCCTCTTTAGATCCCTATACTTTTTATAGCACACACAAAAAATGACGAAGTAAATGTGAATGTATGAATTCGACTATTTTAACAATGAAATAAATGTGGGTGGAGAAATTCACTTATCAAAGAGGGCATCCACACAGACATACTATTTCTTGGTGCAATATGGTTAGAAGAGAGAATACAGAGGAAATCTACGTGGGTCAAAAGAGCAGACAAAGTTTGCTACTAAGAAACATGGCAAGTAGCTAAATAATTGCAGAATTTTGCTCTTTTTTTTTTTTCCCCCATTAAATCAGCAGTGACACTATAAACTCTAGTGAGAATAGTAAATGTAGGCTCAGGCTGGAGTTGGAAGGAAGCTTCCACAAGTCTCTTCACTTAATTGGAAGCTCCTTTAAGGTAGTGGTAGTACCATGTTCATCTTATCTCTGTGGTAGGTAGGGCACTACCAGACACAATGTACCTGTTCAATCATGGCTAAGAAAATGACCCTGGTTGTCAAACAATACTATATCCAATGCAGGAATCTTTCTCTGCTCAAATGCTTCCAGTGCTAGGAAGAGCTTATTTTCTCACAAGACAGTCTGGATTGTTGGACATACCTCCTCTTATTGAATTGAAATTGATCTCTGTCTCTAATTTCTATCTGGTATAGAAGATTATGGGTCTGAGTTCTGATAATGTCAACATGTAATAGCACTATTAGAATAAGTCACAAATAGATTTAGATAGATGTCATCAGAACATTCTAATTCTTTTGATAGATCTTTGGCCTGAATGAAATAAAGGCACTAAAGATTCTTTTGGGGGAATGTTTTCCTTGAAGAATCCTTAGCATTCCATGTTTTCTCACTTACTATCTCTGCTTATCTACAGCTCTCCCCTTCTCTAACTTTATGGAGGATAATGCTATAGGCAACTGCAAGTGCAGAGAGAAATTCTCTAAAAATTTAGTGTAATTATAGGTTTATTTTGATTCTGTAAAGCCCTGAACACCATGGTCATATATGCTATGGATGAATAATTACTAAAATGGAATAGAAAACAATATCTCCAATTAGTACCTCTAGGCTAGAACTGTCACTTCATTGAAACAAACAAAATTTTCCTGTGACTTTCAACGCCATTCATTTATTCATTCAACAAATATGTATTGAGATCCTACTCTGTGACAGGATGTTTCCTACAGACCATGTTTCCTACAGATCCCCACTTCATTAAATTTACCATCTTATATTTAATACATTGATGATAAATTTATTTAGGTTCTCTTAAATGATAGGACTGAAATCAAATGAGTACTATCATTCAAATGATATAACTCATCATTATGAGTCAATAATGACTCAAATGTTATATCTATTTGTCCATGTGATAAAATAAAACTGTTTTAAATATTGGGGCTTCAGAAAAAAATATTTTAAGTTGGTAAGTGATTAAAAATTTTATAAAAATGGTACCATTTATAAACATGATTTATGTCTATAGATATCCTTTTTTTGTTATTTGAGGAAATCATTCGTCTTATTATAACAAGTGTTATCAGAATCAGGAAGAGAATAATAGTCTTATATTTTATTAAGTGTTACGATGATTATTTCCCAGGTACTGCAAATCACAACAAATTGGGTATTTAGAAATATTTGAATAATTTAACTTAAGATCTTGAAAAGAAGTGACCGCATTTGCAAGTCAGCTTAATAAAAATAAATGGGAAGTCTTCCTGAGTAAACAGTTTGCTTCATATCTTTCTTATGCAGTACATGAATAATTCTGCCTTCACATATGTGGTAAAGGGGCTAAAAAAAAAAAGATCAGATAGAGACAGTAATACTCTTTGTTCAACTTCAAAGTCAAAGAGGTTAGAATTCAATTGCAATATGTTCTTCCTTTGTTGCATTATGCAAACTTGGAACTAGAGATTATAATATTTAGTGAAAATCTTTCATATTTTAAGATAAGCATCTTCATTTCCCAAACAGATTAAACAGCTGATCATTATAGAAATAACAATCGTCACAAATTTACATTATGAACAACTACAAAAACGTGAAAAACACTGTTTACAAATGATAGTGAAGAATAAATTACCTTTTCAGTGCATACAATTAAGTATATACAGGATAATTTAAAACCAAATAGAATGATTGCTAATACTGAGCTCTTAAAAATCTCCATCAAAATATACATGTTACCCAAGAGAGGCTGACAAAAATAAATTGTGACACAACTGCAGAATGTTGTTTCTCTTCTTATGCTCAAAACTTGGATGATATCTCATCAAAATATTTTACCAGTGTACAAAGGATGGAAAACTTTAATTCCAAAACCATTTCTCTAAATTACCAACAGACTTATATTCTTGATGCCTTTTCACATGATCACAAGCCAAACATGCATGTGATTCCCAAAATCGTGGAAGATTTACGGTGAAATCTTTCCTCCAGTTGAAGTAACTAAGGTATAACTTATTGTTTTTGTCGACTTCCTTCAGATACTTTGCTAGCTCACTGGGAGAGTTATAATCTTCCACATGAATGAATGAATCTGCTGGAATATAATTCTCATAGTTTTCCCTAGATGGCCCCAGAACAACGGGTACAGAGCCAGCCAGAAAAGCATTGTAGAGCTTTTCTGTGATGTAATCTTTGTGGATTGAGTTTTCAAAGGAAAGATAAAATTTACAAGTAGATATGGTAGGAATCAAGTTTTTATCATTGACATATTCTCCAAAGGCTTGCCCATAGGTATGGATTTCAATGCTTTTGCTTAGCTCATTGTAATACTTGACCCTGGCATGCTCAGGGTTCCAGTTACTTACAACCCAGCACACCAACTTCTCTTTACTTGGAACTTCAAACACAAAGGGGTTTGTGCTCACCGTCAAGAAGCCGTAAGGCACCTGGATATCAGAGTCACGGCGGTAAGTCAAAGTCAGATTGAACAAGTGCTCAATACCACTCTTTTGGGGAGTGTGAGTTGGTGATTCCAAATTCATCCAAATCCATTTCTGGAAGGGTGGTCTAGCCTGCTGAGGTAAATTAGTCAGATCCCAACTGATGTCTCGGTGATGGATCAGAACAGCATGAGATTTGTTGTACAGTGAACGGTCTGTCGTGAGATGGCATCCTTGGATATTGAACATTGCTTGGCAGGATGTAAGGTCAAAGGTCTGCCCAAATGGCCACACCCACACCAGAATGGTAGTTTCATTAAAGTACTCAGTCTTGGTGGAGAAGAAATTTTTCATTTTCAGCACTGAGCTGGCTGACTCCATGGGACTGAAGATCCAGCTGTTGGTGGGCTTGATGTAAATGAGAAGACAAGCCATGAAGCAGCCCAGGATAATGCAGACAATTAAAAATGGGCGGAGGATTCCTTTGGATGCTGAGGTCATAATTTTTTCTGTGAAACAGAGAAAGATAGAGGAGTAGATGGGGTAGGGATAAAGAAATAATCATAAGTATAATTTGAGATAAACAGGTGGTACATCCTAAAATATACTTAATCGCAAAGTCAATTGCATTTTCCTTTTCAGTGTTATCAAAAACCACTGAGAAAAACAGAGTTTCCATTTAAGCTAAGAAACTGCTTTTAAAGGAAGTTTCCCATAAAAATCTTCCTTAGAAATAATGAATCAGAATTTTTTCTAAATGTATCAGCTTATCTTCAAGTCAAGTTGTATTTTTTTCAGTGCCATCCCTATCTGTTCTATTTTCATTTGCTTGTAGAAAACTAGCACAACAGACTGTCATCACCAAAGCCATGACTAAAATTTTTAGTATTTCGAAATCACAACAGATTTGTGAATATTTCCTTGCTGATATAATCACTTATTTACTAGTGTATTGAGACTCTAATATAACTTTGTAGTTCAGATAGAATTCAACAGAAAACCAAACTTTTTAAAGAAAAAAGTTGTTTTTGTTTCTTAGTATAAGTTTATTTTCACTGTTTACAAATGCATCAGGATAGTCATGTGGTACAAAATGAAAACTCTTGATTTGATATATATATATTTTTAAGTAAGTACACTGATGCAAATTTCGATAAATTTAAAATGCTCACTGTTTTTTTCCCTATTTTGTCTTATATTTTTCTTTACTTTTAATAATCTGTTAGTACTCCTAATATCTACCAGATTGATGTGATAGTCAATGCTCTATTGGTATTAGAACAACATTCTCATTTATGTGGTATTGGCATCTTAGAAAAGTTTTTTTTTTTTTTTTTGCAATAAAATGATATTAGTATTACAGAAATAAAAACAAATGGATTCTCAAAAGAAAACATTTATATTTCAAGGAGAACAATTTTGATCTTGTGAATTTTAACAGGTGGTGGCTAAAAAGAAATTCGAGTGTTTTTTTTATGTGTCTTCAAGGTTTTTTCTCTCTGACATTCATGCCTCTTTACAAATATGAACACAAAAATATAATCTGTAATATACTTGCAAAACTGTTTCTTGATCAAATTCTTGCTAATTCTCTGAAACTCATATTGTTCCTCTCACCAAAATAATATGGCTTATCAATTTCAGATTTATTAAAGTATTTTGAAATCTTGATCCAAACTAGTATAGAAATATTACATTTTTTTTCTCCCAGAAAAGGGAGAACTTGTCCTTTGTTTAACTACCTAAATTTATGTGAACATTTACACATTATATTTTTTTGCTATTTGTTTTTCTTAAAGCATATGACATTCTCTCAATAGTAAAGCTTGGTTTTATGAGTCCAAAATTTCTGAACATTGCATTCCAGTGCACACCCAGAGTAGAATTATTGGAATCAAAGACTGCAGCTTACTGTCAGTGTTAGCTTCAGTCCTGCAGTCAATAACAAAAGGAAGCAAAATAGGTCCCTGGGACTACAAAGAAAATCAGGAAGAAATTATGAAGGAAATCTCAATTATTTAGAGCTAAATGACATTCAAGTTTCTATATGTCAAATTCTGTGGCATATTAAAGCAATAGTTTGGAGGAAATTTACAGATTTGCTCATTATTCAGGAAATTAACAAATTGGTCAACTCAAGAAGCTAGACAGAGAGCAATGGCACAAAGCTAACGAAATAAGAAGGAAACAAATTAAGGTAAGAACAAAAATCATTGAAATTCAGAGCAGAAATTTTAGATGATTAATAACATCACAAGCTTTGAAAGTACTAAGACAAACTGCCGGCAAGGATAATTAAAAAAGAGAGATAAATTCAAATTAAATATCAAATAAAGGGTAAATAATTGTTGATCTAACATAGATAAAAATTAGACATCACTATTTTGAATAATTTTACGCTAATAAATGTGAAAGACTTGATGAAATAAAAGGTTGCATTTTTGCACAAATAGAGAAATAACAATACTGGCACAAGAGGAAATAATATTTAGTGAAACATATAGTTAAAGAAATGAAATCCATAAATGACAACAACTAAAAACAAACTCTAGGCTTAGATGTTTTTGCATGAGTGTTATTAAATATTCAATAAATATGGCTGGCCAGTTAGCTCACTTGCTTAGAGAATGATGCTGATAACCCCAAGTTCTAGGGTTCAATCCCTGTACTGGCCATCCACCAAAAAACAAACAATGCAAAACAATTCAATAAATGGGGAATACTACCTCACTTTTTTTTTTTGTCTTTTTTCCGTGTCCGGCAACGGATCGCAACCCTCAGTGTTGCCCCCGTACCGGACCAGGGACCGGCAACGGGATCGCAAACCTCGGTATTGCTCCCACGCCTCGCTCAGCCAGTGAGCGGGAGCCGGTCCGTATGTGGGATCCGAACCCTCGGGCGGCGCGCGCCGCCGCGCTTCCCAAGCGGCGCACCATCCAGTGCGCCACCGGGCCGGCCCATACCTCACTTTTTTGTTTTTTTTAAAAAAACAAATCATTCTAGAAAACAGGAAAATAAGGCAAGCTTAACTATTTATGAGGCTAATTATAATCTTGTTACCAAAACAAGATATGGAAAGTTAAAAAAAAGCCAATTTCACTTGTGAACATAGATGCAAAAATACAAAAATTTGGCAATAGAGTATTGAAAATATATCAGGATGTGATTCAAAAATAAATTTATGAAGGTTTAGTTGCATTTAATCCCACTTTATAAATTTAACTAGTTGGACAATCTCTCTATTCTTTCTAGACTCTGGAATTTACAGACTGAGAAAACTTACTGATAAGGTCTTTTTCTTTGGAACAACATTAATCTTTAGCCTGCCTGATTTGACTGAATATTATAGTATTTTCTTTCAATGAGACCAATATTTAATGGTTGTTAGAAATGCTCTAATTGAAAGTTTCCTTAAATCCTTTTTGAGTTGAAATGCAATAGCAAAAACTATCTAAATAAATGTCAGCTCAATATAATCAGGTTACAACTGTAATAGCCACCACTTAATAAATGTTCACTCTCAGCTGGGCTTTATGCCGAGCACTTTATACACATCATTTCCTCTAATCCTCATACAAACCCTGTGTGGGAGATCTTTTCTCACTCCTTCACAGAAACTGAAGGCCAGAGATGTAAGTAACTAGCTTAACCACTGGGTTGTACTCTCATTTGCCTTCCCCAGCCTTATTGGAACAAATATTACAAACATCAATAGTCTATTTGCATTTGGTACCTCAGGTTTTGTTGTTTTGATTTCCCTAGTCTCTACCCTTAACTCTATAATTAAGGATTATTTACTCATGAGTTAAAATTAGATCAATTTCTCTTAACAAGGATAATACCTGACACATATGGCTACTATCAGTGCCAAACACTGATCTGAGCACTTACATTAACTCATGCATGCGAGTGTGTATGCGTGTGTGTATGTACATATATTAACTCATTCTATTCCCATTTTATTGGTGAAGTAACTGAAGCCCAAAATGATGAAGAAAATGGGCTCAAATCACATGGCTAGTACGTGGCAGAGCGCACTTTAAAACCCAGGTCATCTGGCTTCAGAGCCTGGGCACTTGACACATTTTAGGATCACTGATCCCCCAGGCTGCAGCCAGAGAATGCAAGCAGCTTGGTGATACCAGAATGTAAACTCTGTGAGGGACTTTGTTTTCTTTGCTGGTGTATGCTTATCACCAACATATAGTAGGTGTTTAAAATGCTGAATATGTTATATAAATGAATGGGTAAATTGCTGACTCTTGACTACCTACAAGACACTATGCTTGGTGGATAATCACACTACAAAAATGAACCAGGTGTGAATGAATGAATATGTGCTTAGTTTCTTTCTGTGTGCATTTAACATATATCCCTTTATGGAATAACTGCCATTGAAATTGACCAACAGTTACTCCTACCCTTAGATGAGCAAAATCTCTCAGTTTTGCCTCTCTTCATTGTGTTGGAAAGTTGGCATCGATCCAGTACATTTTAGTCTCGTGACTCTCTTTTTTTAGCCAAATAAGAAAAAATTTGTCACTAGACAGAAACAATGTTCCTTCTACTGTGTTTTTCAGTTTTCCTGCTTCATGGACATTTTTTATTACTTGAGGTTCTTCTTGTTAACTCTCTGAACACCCTCTCTCCTCAATTTTTCACTGCTGTCAGGGTCAATTACTAAACAACAGGGGCAGTTATTCAGTAACCCCTGCTTTGTACAGAAACTGTCAGAAAAGTTTGCCTCCTGGAGTCAAATTGACATCCCTTTGACAGGAACCTTTTCACCTATTCCTCATAACTAAAATTCAGCTGGATATCCAACATGTCTTGAACTGTTAATCGATATAACCTATTTTTAAAACAGCTGCAGCAGTGTGACTATAGCTCTCAACAGAGATGGCCAAAAATTTATAGCATAAAGCAAATTGTAACCATTTAGGATAATTAAACCTTTTCAAATATTTTTAAATAGCTTCAAGTATTATAAGAGAATATAATATTAAAACTTTACTATTAAAAATAACAGAATTTTTAGTAAAAATACTGCTTGATAAGACCTGGTATGCGTATGATTCCTTTTTCCATTAAGAGATTCCCTTTACGGTTCTTTAAGAATGCTTTACAGAATGTTAAAGAATGGAAGAGAGCTGGAAATAGGAAAGTTAGAGTTGTGATTGTCAAACTATAGATACATGTAAAGGTATTAAAGAGAAAAATGTGAAACTAAGGAGAAGAGGAGGCTTCTTCAAAGAATGGTAATCTTACTCTAAATTTTGTTTTTTATTTGTGTGTATATGTGTTGGGGAGGGTGTTGCATCCTTATTTTAAATGTAAATAACAGGAGCATACTACAGAATAGAATTAAATACTTGCCTAAATTTTTAAGATAGAACAGGATAGTTGGACTTGTAACTTGCCCCTTGGGGCATTATTCCTAGATTGTAGCCACTACCCACCTCTTCAACCCACCTCCCTGATCTCACACTACTTGGGAGGTAGGGTTGGA